ATATTGATATGTGCAGTAAATTGGTAACTTTTTTTGTAGAGGTATATAAAAGAAATGTGGTTTTAGAATACCTAATTAATAATTTTTACAATATATCTAAGCGATATTTATTCTGTTTTACATTTTCCCTTTAAAAATTGAAACAAAAGTTCTGCTTAATATTGTATTATTAAAATAAATACGTGGATGTTGATTTTTTTAATAGCTAATGTATAACTGTTGTTGCGTTTAAAAAAAATTGGTAATTACTAATTATTAACACCTTACACGAGAAAATAAATTTGACAAAATCTTAGTAAAATTGACTTTGATTAAACAAAGAAAGGAAGGAAGGAAGCAAGGAAGGGTTTTAATTTATCCCCGATGAAACCAGTTTGAACTTGCGTAATTATTAAGAGGTCTGAGGTGAAGTGTGAACTGCTAATAACAAGAAATTAGTAGGTAATTTGGGGGTGGCTTAAATCGACGAAGCATACACTGTAAGCTATACGTATTATATGTTTGGGAAAGGGAGAAGAATGTGCAGAAACTAGTGAAGCATGGGTTAGTAATACTAACGCGATTTTAGAGAACGTAATACTTGAGCTGTTGTTGAAAAGTGTCGACCTGTAATGAAATTGGCCGTTGATCTGAGACTGGCACAGGTGTGATCCAGCTTTACTACCCTGGCGACGATTATGACTATGCCTTTTATTGAAGCGTCGCCTTTGTGAATTGTCGGAAAACATCCATTATTAGCTCCTATCCTACTAACTGTGTAACTGCTTTCAAAATTTTTCACAAACGAATCAACGGCCAATTTTCTTCTATAACTCACCTACGTAATTAAGTAATTAAATCTATTATATACCGCCTCTGTAACACGTAACAAAACGCAACGGCAAAATACAACTGAATTTCACAATTAATAAAATAATTATCAGTATAAAGCAGAGGATAGCGCAGGGTCGTGTCGCCTTTAATAAAAAGAAGTCACTTCTATGCTCGCGAACGGTTAATTTAGAAATTCGAAAAAGGTGCATATTAGGAGCACGGCATTGTAAGGGTGCGAAACATGGACAGTGGGCGCGGCGGAAAAGAAAAGGTTAGAAGCGTTCGAAATGTGGTGTTATAGGCGGATGATGAGGATATCGTGGGTNGTCGAAATGGTAATTTATTTTTCGATAAAAGCTCAAAGTACCTAAGCATACTTAAGAAATTGCATGATCAAAACTTAATGAAATTAAACTTATTTGTAAGGTGTAAATCCCTCTGCCCTATGGACTCCTATGGAGTAATATTATCATTTACAGCCTAACATATTATATTTTCAATAGTAGTGTTATATAAATTATACATAAATATACTCCACTGTATATAATTGAGAATACATAAAAAAGACGACGACAATTTAACGAAACGAAAGAATTTAATATTATGTAATAAAACTAAGTCCAATGTTGTTAATTTGTACCTGCTCTCCAGTGAGACGATACTGATGTTGAATTTTATTATATCTAGCTAATTCATTGATTAGACACATTGGGGTTTTTTCTTTAGTGTTTGCCAAGGTTGATTGTTGGGGCATAGAAGAAGTACTAGTGTTTGGTGAATTTTGCATTTGAGCTTGTTGCACCTGAGCAGAATGATCATTTTCAGAAACCGTCTGATGTGGTGGAGGTGGTTGATGTTGATGCTCTGTTGCTTCCACTGGTGCAGACTCATAGTGATATACTGAAAGCAAAAGAAATTTGTTAGAATACATGTGATTTATTTTTATAATCACATCAATTTATTATAACTGAATTACAACAAACCTTGTTGTGTAGGTTGCTGCATGATGGTTTTTGGCTGTTGAGGTTGCTGGGGCATTGAAGTCGGTGGCATAAGGGGTGGGCCTTGAGGCATAGAAACAAGTACTCCTTGAATTAAATGAAAAAACATCCATTAACATAAATTCACTTTCAAGCAGTCAAGATCTAAAATACCTGAGTGCGGTACTGGAACTGTTGGTTGTAAACTCATTAACATTGGCTGAGTACCACGATTTGGGGGCATTTGCTGCACTCTACAATAAAAGGGTAAAATAAAACTAAACTGTGAGAAGTAAATGGTAACATTATTATAATTAAATATATAATCATGGTTAAATATCAAAAATAAATTTATTATTATTTACATGTACTAACTAAATAAATCGATAAATAGTAATAAATGAGTAAAGTTCAATAAAATTATGAAAAGGACGTTTTTTACCTGTTTCGTTGCATGTTGTTAGGGGGGACGTGATGGTGTTCAGGATGTCGCATCATAATTCACTTATTTTAACAGAAAATTTTTGTATTTATAACGTATAAGATGTTAATTGCACAAAAAATCAGGAATTAGGCCGGTACTGCGTATAATAAAACTTTTAGAATGATTTTAAACAATTAGGGAACTATCAACGAAATTATACGTTATTTATTAAGCACGTTTTGTTTTATGTAAAACTGATTTCAAACACCACTACTAGATCTTCAAATACATTGGCAAACAATAAAGAAAATTCGTGTTTCAACATGCGGCCATGTTAAAATCTCTTTCGGATTTGGAACGTTCACCTATATCTACTGTTGCAACGTTCATTTTAAAAAATTTCACTCTCTACATCGTATAACTGCTTACTGAGTTGTTTGAAAATATAATAATTGTATGTAGAAAAATGTCAGTAATTATATGCATTAGGTACAAAACTCCACTTAAAGCTTTTAAATTAGTTCTACTTTTTTACTTTCCAATTTAAATTTTTTCGTGAAATGGGATACTTAATAGGTATCTGACAACGGTGCTTGGTAAAAAGGAAGGGGTTGCTTTTAATTTAAATTATGCATATGTAAAAAATGTTTCCTGTTCACCCTATGTATTGCAATTCAACAAAGCTGCTTTATGATACCCTTTAAATAATAAAATTACAACTTGTTTCACTACAATAGCAAGAGATAAACTGACATTAAACAAAATGTAACGGAATATATACACGAACATTTATCACTCAACTACAATTTATTATTGCTGTAGCTTTTTCCAAGAAAATTAGTTTTATGTTTAAAAAAATGGGAAAACTGCCTTTCGCAAGTGTAAATTTGTTAGTATATTACCCATCAATCTATCATTAATATGATATCCCCAACTCGGCATTGGGTCACAAAAATCTTCATATGAGGAGGGCCTTTCTCACTAAGAACCTCAAAAGTTACATTCAGAGATCTTTTAAGGGCAATTTCGTGTACCAATGAAATTGGAGATTTGAGTTCTGTACTTAAATCCTGATTAATATTTCCATTTGTCGTTACCAAGTAACCTGTTAAATTAACAATACCTAATAAAAATGACTTACTTTTTTTAACTAATTGATAACCTTACCATTTTCTTGTGTTGTATTGCATTGCTGCTGCTGCTGCTGCTGTTGCTGCTGCTGCTGGTGTTGTTGTTGTTGTTGTTGTTGCTGTTGTTGCTGCTGCTGATGTTGTTGTTCTTCAGCTTCCATTTGTTTAATATCTTCGACAGCTTTGGATGCTGCATCATGACGGGCCGCCTGAACGGTGCATCCCACGCCTGGGTATTCTCTGTCTCCAACTCGAAGGCGTACAGTTACTGGTTCTCCAGAAGGATGCTGGTAACCAGGTCTATACGGTCCATAATATCGATCATAATGGGTATGGTATCCTCGGCCCCGCCGAATATCAAAATTTGGATAACGTGGTTGCCCTGGATTATACATATTATGTCGAGGATAATAACCAGTTTGTGAAATGTATCCCTAAATAAAACAATTTTTTTAGTAATGTTCTGTACATTTTTTTAATATTGTATACTAACCTGAGGTTGATGTGATGGAACACTATCTAGCACATACACCGTTCGTTCTCCTCTTTTCATAGCTAGTGCATTCAATTCTACTGTTGGAGTGACCATACCGGGGTTCCTCAGGCCAGACCTATTAATTCGAGCAGTTTTTGGAGGAGGATGCTTCAAATCTGTCCTTTTAAGAGCCAAGGCAGCAGCAGCATGCTGGGCTTTTTTTATGCTTGGTCCTTCAGCTTCATATTCTTCATTGCCCAATTTTAAAGTAACAGTAAACAGCTTTTTGTGAGCTGGCCCCTAAAATTAATCCAAACTTGTAACACAGACAATTTCAACGTTACATTTTTACATACATATGTTAATGGCATATTATCATATTATTTTTTCAATAGTAGTGTTATATAAATTATACATAAATATACTCCACTGTATATAATTGAGAATACATAAAAAAGACGACGACAATTTAACGAAACGAAAGAATTTAATATTATGTAATAAAACTAAGTCCAATGTTGATAAGAGAGTAACAATACAATTAATCAATTAATTAATTATACATACCCCTCAATATTACTTTCTTTGTTGGGCGTTACATTATCTAATCCCAGCTCAGATAGAACATTCAGTGCTTCTAAAGCAGCCTTTTCATGAGAAGCCTCAGTTGTAGGACCCTCTCCATGACACACCTACACAAAACGTTCTATTTAATTACTTTTAACGTTCATTTATACATCCATAAGAAATACTCAACATAACTGTACTAAATCAAAGACGNAATGAAGAGGTATTGGAAAGAATAGGAGAACAGAGGACTCTATGGAAGTCAATAAAAAATAGGCGAGATAGGTTGGTAGGACACCTTCTTAGTCATGAAGGTCTAATCAGAGACATATTAGTGGCAGAAACAGGAGTTAGGAGGGGTAGAGGTAGACCTAGATTAGATTACCTACTGTTCGCAAATAGTTAAGGATGTGGACTGTTCTAGTTTTAGGGAAATGCGGAAGTTTAGCTCAGGATAGGAAAGAGTGGAGGTACGTGTCCAACCAGTCTTAGGACTGACGGCCTTATGATGATGTTTGCATATTACTATAAAACTTTGAAATTGGCAGCAAAATAAGCAAACTGAAACTTTTTACAAAAATTTACGATTTTAGATAGTTTGGTACTTTCCTCTGGAAGAAATATTGTCTGACGATTCCAAAATATTTTTAAAGGCATTTTTCCAGAATCGCGTTTTACAAAAGAAGTCCACTTAATTTCTTTTTTAAGCTATTAAAAATTTTTGGTATTGTGATATCGGAAATAGCTCCATACAGTTCTCTTATTAAAGCCATAATTTCAAGTTAAATAGAAAAATGTATTGTAGAAAACGTACCTACAGCAATTCCAAGACACTAAATTAAAAATTCAATTTATTAAAGAATTTTTATTTTATTGCTACTAAGATTGTACTCTGTGAATATTTTAAACTTTAATAATTTATTTACTGTATAGATATTATAACGTTAAAAAAGTTTCTCACTCTCTCTCTCTCTACCCTCTTCGGAACGACAATTTTTCTCGTTACTTGTTTTAACTAGAGTAATAGCTTTAACAAGGTGTGTGCTTTAAGTACACTCTCGATTTAATCTAATATCCGTGCTTAAAAATTGTTGCCAAGGGTTTGGTATTACTAGCACTGATAATGTGATGAACATGTATTAAATTTTCATTGAGAACCTTACTTCAGCAGATCTTTATCTAAAAGCTCGATACGTGGACGGATGTCTTCATCTTCTTAGCTTCCTGTCCTTGTTACAAAATCATTTTATTATTAGTAATAATATAGACAAGAGCTACATGTATAGTACATATTTGTAATAGTTTGGGATCAGTTTTTGCTTTTCAACAAAGCTCAATTACAGAAGCAAATATAGTTACACGAAGCCGGATGTTCAGATCAACGAAATCGAAAGGTCTAATAGCACATAAGGGTCCCGCCCGCTCCTGTTGTAGTAGCACATATAATACAACATATTTGCTCTTGGCCTTGTTAATACTCGTCTTGTTTTCCTTTTTTCTTCGGCTGATTTCACTTTTGTTTGCACATTTGTGTAAAGATGATGTACAAATTAAACAGATAGCTTTGTACACCCCACCGGTCCATCTATTATACTGGTCAAGAATGTTTAGCCTGCAGGCCATTCTGAACCAAACGTTGTGGTTTAGACATTAAACCCGTAACATAATTGGGGTAAAAGATTATACGCCATTCACACTTTACAAACTCGAATGGTTATCGAATATATACGTGTAGATATATATTTTTTATATACTACCTATATATGTAATTTATAAATTTAATTTTATACATACATACATATATCTTGTGTGTAACGTTCTTTAAACAACTATTACAGCTGCAAAAATTTTCATTGAACTTATTATTACAAATTTATGAAAGAAGAACCAAAAAATTTCAGACCTTTGTATGATGGGGTAAGAAAGCGAGATGAAAACTTTTGATGCGATTACTGTTTCTTTTTAAAAATTCCGACTATCACGTTTCTAGCATAGTAGCTGATACGTTAATGTATAATATCATTAAACACAAAAGAAAAATATATTGTATTAGGCATTCTCAAAACAATAAGATTGATCCCTACACAGTGACATCATCATGTGATAAATATATAAACTGACTGCTATACAACTAGTGGTGGTGGGAGGGGTAGTTCTTATGTTTATTAAAATCAATATTGAGCAATGAAGAACTATTGTCCTTTCTTTTTTTTTATATAATCAAAGCTAAAATTATGATGAAGAGATTGTCTTAAAATGTATACATAGGGCATACCGGAAGAAAGTTCCTGACTCGCATTTTTTTCAAATAAAAATAACATCATAATTTTAACTTTGATTATAAAATTTTACATAGACAATATAGAATGGCAGTACGACGATTTCCTGATTGGTAAAAAAATATTAATGTTGTAAACACGACATATTTTTCTTGAAACTTTTTTGTGAATAATTTTGACCATCGTCTAGTGAGGAAATTCCTTATTTGCGATTAGATAGAAGACGCGGGGCCCCAAATGGATATACTTCAGCCGTGAGTGAATGCGACAGCTAAAAGTTGTGCAAGTTGTGGGGACAAAGGTTGGGCGGATAAACCGTTTAGCAAAAACTCTAAAAACATCCGGAGATAAGTAGCTATTCGAAAAGCACAAGTGCAGGCGGCATATGAAAATAAAGCAGTTATTGGGGCAAGGGAATAATCTGCTTAGATGCCTGTCCGTTGTAGGTGACCGATCAAGAGGAAAACTATAGTAATCCCTATGACGGACTCTAACACAGATATACCCACGTACACCACATGTGGTATACGTACAGACAGACCGTCCGTCTGCTTACATTTGCTCCAATGCCTACGTTTTACATCCCTATTTGATACACTTTTAAAAGCTGCTGATGCTGCTACACTTTCTTACTTGTAACGACCTTTATCTCTATTATCTATTTACTATGCTAGAATTAGCAATTTACAAGACGAACAACTCTATACCTTTACGAAAATGCTACCAGTAGATAAGAAAGGATGAAGACCCGTGAAAGGGAATTTAGGTTCCACAAATACTTTAGATTGATAATGCAACAATAATCATTTTTAAATTTATTTATTTGATTATGTACTTTAGGTCCCTCATCGATATTTTATGTTTTGATGATTGCTTGTCGACCTAAAAAATGATATTTTTGTGCAAAAATGTCGAAATGGTAATTTATTTTTCGATAAAAGCTCAAAGTACCTAAGCATACTTAAGAAATTGCATGATCAAAACTTAATGAAATTAAACTTATTTGTAAGGTGTAAATCCCTCTGCCCTATGGACTCCTATGGAGTAATATTATCATTTACAGCCTAACAAATATAAATTTGTTAAAATTTCTTCATATTCGTTAGAAAACAATGCATTAATAAACATATACTTTTTAAACTTTTATTCATTTTTCCTTTACCATCAACAGGTGCACTTTAAATTAATATTATCTACTTTAGGTCTGTGATAAATGATACGATTACGATAGGAGAAGACAATATTCACTATAACCAATAAGTTATACTGAGGTAATATTTATACCATTNAATGCATTAATAAACATATACTTTTTAAACTTTTATTCATTTTTCCTTTACCATCAACAGGTGCACTTTAAATTAATATTATCTACTTTAGGTCTGTGATAAATGATACGATTACGATAGGAGAAGACAATATTCACTATAACCAATAAGTTATACTGAGGTAATATTTATACCATTTATATAAAATGTAAAATTTACGAAAAATTCTTACCTTTTTCATGTCAACAATGCCAAGGAAGGTGGAAATATAGTCCGTAAAGGTATTAATTTCATCACATTTAATTATTGTTCGTAAATAAATGTAGAGGTACTACGCCATGTACTTTTATACCTACACATAATTTTCGATTTCTCTTAGTACAATAATTTTTTAACTTTTAAAAAAACTGTTTTATACGTTTTAATTGCTATAATTTAATCAAATTTTGGTTAACTATTACACTTTTAAATGATTATTTATTTAATGAACTACTAACACTGATTGTACATCTGTTTTGACAGCCAGAGAGGTAACTACATTTACATAGAAGGAATCACTGTTAATAAGTAACCAGTGGTGGTCTAGAGCTTTTCAGAAAATCATTACAGGGAACAGATATTAAAAAGATTAATTAATTACAATAAACATAATAAATACTTTTATATTTATAACAATTTCTTTGATTTGTACTAATTCAAATGCTGATTACGTTTACCTACCTGCAAATATCGTATTGAGGAAGAGGAAAACGATTTTTTGATTTAAATATATAACATTTATTGAACTAAATAAAGGTCAATTCTAAAATACAATTTTAGCGTCGTAAACCTAAGAAAATATTGCACATTTAAGAGATCAACGCTTATTAGGCATTTCAGAAGCTCTACGATTTCACAAAAGATATTTAATTGTGTTATTGCATGGTTAATAAAACTAATTATGCACGATATAAGTCCGATTTTTGTAACATTTCCTCGTGTTGTCATAACAATTTGCTTGCGTACACGGGTATGGATGGTCTAGAAGTAGAAGGTGGCATGAGAAAGGGCCTAATAAAATGTTGAAGATCACTTTCTCCGTTATAAATAGAGCTACTGGTTGATCCGTGACTGTTTCCACTCAAGAAATCTCCATCACTTCCGCCACAAGTTCCCTCATGTAATTTCCTCATGTGCTTTTTCAAATCAAAGTTTCTACAAAATCCTTTTCCGCACACTCGGCATGTAAATGGTTTTTTATCGTTATGAGTATGCATATGGAATGTTAAATTATAAACTTGATGAAAAGCTTTCGAACAAACGGTACATTTGTAAGCTTTCTCTCCACTATGAGTTAGTTTGTGGTTCTTATAATTCCCTTTCTGGTGAAATCCTTTCCCACAGAATTCGCATATAAACGGTTTGTAACCGGCATGGATCCTAGCGTGGGTGTTTAGAGTTGAGGAACGATTGAATGCTTTCCCGCAAGTATGACATTTGTGAGGTTTTTCGGAGGTGTGAATTATTTTATGACGACACAACGTTGACGCCTGTCGAAAACCTTTGCCACATATTTTACAAACGAAAGGTCGAGCACCAGTATGAACTGGCATGTGTCTGGTTAAATTGTAATGAGCATTGAACACTTTTCCACACTCTCCACATTCGAAACTTTTCTGTTTCGTAACTTGGATATTATTTTTGGGAAGTTCGGAAGACCTATTACTTTTTTCAAAATGCTGACTCATGGAAATAGAATTGGGTGGAAGAAGAATCGACGGGGAACTACCGGTAGCTACAGGCGTTTCTGACGAATAAGCCGCTGAATTTGTCGCAACGCACATTAACTGATTCGGATGGTAGTAAATAAATGGATATTGTTGAAATAGTTCATGGGACTGCAACATGCTGGGAACGTATTTTTTGAATGCCGATTCTAAATTCGTACAATTCGAGAAATTTGAAATTAACGGAACGTTGGTTAATCCATCCGAGTTTTGTACAGTTTTACTTGATGGCTTATCGGGTTCCATTATTTTATCAATTGAGAAATTTAAAGATTTTGAAGTGGGAGGGCTGGTTTTAGACGATGCAGGTTCCAGCGATACTGGAGTTTCACCTTCCGATTCCATAACGCCAAAGATTTCTTTATCCTTTTAAATATATTTTTATTTCTTCTTAATGAAGAGTAAGATTATGATACATATCTGAAAGAAAAAAAATTATTAACAGTAATCTTGCCAAAATGAAATTGTTGCCTAAATTTAAAAATATGCCTATTTCATTTATCTTCCTTCGAGTTTGAAAAGCTGAGACAAATATCGTCGTTTTTACTGTTTTCTTATATTCTGATTTGTAAGTATTAATAACTAAGTACTCATAATGTTTACGTAGTGTTTTTGACTATTGGTTTGGAAAACAATTTTCGCGAACCCTCGCAGTTCCAATTAGTTGGGAGCGGTTTAGAAGCAAATTGAAATGTCGGTCGTGTTCATTCTCATCCCTCTCTTGTCGTTCGAAATAGAGAGAGATCTATCTGTGGTAATAACGTTATTAATAGTTTATTTAGGATTTACATCGGCGTAAGCAGTAATCGAGGGCAAAGTGGAATGTTCGTGAGTGACATGACTATAGAATTGGGGGAGAATGATGACTATAATTATTGTCATACACTATCGACAGCATCACCGATTCTGCGGTCGACGTGCCGCTTTACTTTAGGCGTCAATTTGTTTTTTAAAGAACATTCAATTATCCCATCGCGCTACCGTTTTCTTCCACCAACTTCGGAAGGAAAAATTGATAAATATATTTATTATCGTTTAAGTTTATATTATAATAGATACACTTATGTATAATTAATGGGATTCTCCCTTGTAACTTCTAAATAAATAAATTATTATTCACATAAAAAACAATGCAGTACTTGTGATACGGTCGGAAACTAGCGGACCTCGGAAGATCAAAAACTGGACCGCCAACAATTTCTTAAAAGTTAATCACTCAAATAAATTATTGAAAAAACATTTTTTTGTAGATAACAAAGTATGTTTGAGGCTTGAGCACCACCCTTATCATTTTCTGGAGGAAGGAATATGTTTTTTCTGGACCTCGACAAAAATTTTCAAACAAATTGTGAGCTTTCCATTCGTCGTTTTGTTCATCCCTATATTTTAATTTTAACCACTTTTACCATTCGATGGTAAATAGACATCAATACTATTACCAAAAGTAATAGTATCGATACCTATACATGGTCTTTTGCTTTTGAAATTTTTTTGAAGTTAATTATAATTTATAGATAGGACTTATGAATTAATATGTAAATGTAACAGTATAATAGCAGATATAAATGCCGATTATTATGCCTTGAACTGTACATGATAATTTAGGATTAGATAATAGATTCGACGTTATCATATAGTGATTAGGTTTAATAGGTATTCCCTGAGCTTTGCATCACTTGTGTATTCTCTATGCATGTGTGTACGTTGATTGAATATGTCTCTATCTCGAATCACACTGGCATCGCATCATAGTAAATCTGATCAGCGGAGATCCGGTGATTCCCCTACTGTTTGGAACACATAATAGCTATTACGGCGATTAAACGAAGGCTGTTTGCCGATTGATTTCCACTTGCTCTAACGCCTACGCAACCGCTATTTCCCTTTCTACTAATTTCAATTGTCACGTATTACATACAAGGCGATTTATCGAAATGTTATACAAAAAAGTTAAGCAGATATATATACACTACAAATAAACAAATTGAATATCGTCGTACTTTTAAATTATATATATATATATATATAGNCACAACTTTAGATATATATAGGTAAAGTTTTTTACTCTTGAAAATGACCATTTACCTGCCTGGTAAATAAAGCCATAAAATAAAACGTCTATGTAAATACAACTTTTATCTATTTATTAGTGCGTGACAGCATACATGTAAGTGCCGTTAAATTCCTGTTAATTATACGCGAAGGGCTGCGAGTTGTCAGCGTAAAGCCCCCGTCAAGACACGTGCGGGTGAATGAGCCTGCGATCAGCCCCAGTCAATCGCACTAGTACCCTAAAACAGGGCCGCAAACCTACACAAATTCTGCATCCGGGCCACGTGCCCGGTTATCCTAAAATCATATTTCCGACTCTTCCACTTGGCAACTTCCTATTAACTAAAACGCAATCACCCTGTTTATTATTAGCATCTCATTTCAAATATACATATACAAGGTGTTCCCAAACAACGAAGCCAAAACGTTGGCAAACATATATATCTACCAGAACTTTCAAAGACTGAAAACAAAACGCGATGTGTATTCTTCAATTTGTTCATCACGTTTCTTTGTATGCACTCGATAGGACCACAACGTAAAATTCTGCATCAGATACATACATTTATACCACAACGCACATTTCTGTTAAAAGTTAAATAGCTACACAATAAAATTTCGTGTTGTGATCTTTTTATGTTTGTCAAGTTGTGTTGTGGCCGTTTATATAAAATTCTGCAATGGTGCATTAATAATCATTTAGAATGCGTATTTTCTAATTAAAAGCGTCTAAGTTAAATCGCCACAACAAAACATCATATTGTGGCCTTTTAATCACAGTGCCTTTCTGTTAAATACAAACATAATAAGAATTGGTCTATTGGCGGTCTAATTGTCAAGTTGCGTTGTGGCCGTTTATATAAAATTCTGCAATGGTGCATTAATAATCATTTAGAATGCGTATTTTCTAATTAAAAACGTCTAAGTTAAATCGCCACAACAAAACATCATATTGTGGCCTTTTAATCACAGTGCCTTTCTGTTAAATACAAACATAATAAGAATTGGTCTATTGGCGGTCTATTTGTCAAGTTGCGTTGTGGCCGTTTATATAAAATGCTGCAATGGTGCATTAATAACCGTTTAGAATGTGTATTTGCTAATTAAAGACGTTTTAAGTTAAATGAGCACAATAAAACCTCATATTGTGATGTATTTGTCAAGTTGCGTTGTGGCCATATATACGAAAATTTGCATTGGGGTTAATTTGGAAGCATAAAATGCAATCTCTGGTAGTTTTTTCGTTGCCTGGCCCTAACATACGCATTTCCCTTTTATTTTTGCCACACGTCGTCCTACGAAAATTATATGTATTACGGCATCCCTATACGTATTTACCTACACACAATAATGGTAACGCGACTCTAGCAGTTCTTTTTTTTCATTCCGAATGTGCAGTCGTTTTATGCATTGTCATGTACCTAGTAATAAAATAAAATATACCAAGATTGTGGCGCGAGGTACGATGTTGTCATGATTACATCTGCTTGGTCTTCCGTTCGAGCTTTTGTGCAGGCCACGCGACCCAACAATACCCCTATCAACATCTTAAGAAAGCATTTCCGCCGGATCTGCTCAGATCATATTGCGAGGCATCTGCGAATACGCTGTGCCACCCTCTCGCAATTCGGACAATTGTTTATTACCAACGCCGTCACACCACCAAGTGTTTCTGCAGCCATAAATACTTAGGGAGTGTACTCAATATATTTATAAAAAAAAGTTAACTACACGTTAAAGGAACCTACAGTTATTTTAACCATCAGCCCATGGAAGGCTGCATTAAGGTTTATAACCGAAAATTATTGAAAAACGAGACTGATATGGATTTAGAAGACCTTATTAATATACATATCAAATTCCTATAATAATAACTCATAATGTTTCATACACATGTCAGATACCCCCAATAAGGAAACAGGAAACGAACCATAAGTTTTTTCGCTGAATTTGAATTTTGTTTTAATTTTAAAAGGTAATTGCTAAGTTCATATTTAACTACCAAACCCTTCCAAAGAAGACGACGTTGTGTGAAGTGTAAAATTTTTTGTCTTCGCACCAGGAAATGCAGCGGCTTAGCCAAACCGGTGGGGGTTGGAGAGTTCAAAAGTCTCCCTCGACAAAAATTTTCAGTCTCTCTCCAGTCTCTCAGAGTCTTTCAGCATCTCTCACAGTCTCTCAGTTATTGACTCAGTCTCTCAGGGATCTCTCACAGTTTCTGTATGTGAGGCTCGAACGATAAAATTGTTAATTCAGAGATTCGAGTCTCTCACAGAGAGACTGAATGTATAAAACTGAAAAATAGAGAGACTCGAGTCTCTCGTAGAAAGACTGGGATCTCTAAAATATGTTGAACTTAACTTAGTTAAAAAATTTAACTATGTCTATCGAGACACCACTTATTGAGAGATTCGAGTCTCTCGTTCAGAGATTCGAGTCTCTCGTTCAGAGACTGGATACGAAATGAGGATCTCTCTATGAGCGACTCGAGTCTCTCGTTCGGAGACGCTAAACAGTTTTTTTGACAATCTCTCTCAGCGACACCAGAGAGACTTAATGAGAGACGGAGACCTCGAGTCTCGCTTTCAGAAACTCTGAGAGACTGAACATTTTTACCTACTAATTATTATTATTATTTTATTTTGCGTAATGGGGGTTTTCAGCATTTTTTACATTGACCCCCCCTTCGCAAATATAGGCTACGCCACTGAGGAAATGGAACTGAAAAACATTTTTTTTGACTAGAAGGTATGTATAGGTGTTGTAGAAGTAAGAGGTACGGGGGGTTGGGGTAGTGGGGTGTAGTTGAAAAGGGAGCCAGGGCGCAATGAGAATAAAAACGAGCAACCCCCCTGTCTTGCGAACGTACTTAGTGAAGTTCGCCGTAGGATGTGTTTGAGTTAACAAAAGCCTACGCGAGTAGACAGTGCCCTAGTTGGCGCAGGATCTATAATTTTAAATGCAGGACAATTATGCATTGTGTCCCCGGATTCGTTCCCCTGCGGTTTTCTTCAATTTCGCAGCATATGTCATAATCACGTTCCGGCTGACTGTTGTTATTCATAATACAACCCTCGGTTGCCGTTCGTGTCTGTCGGCAACACGAGCTGAAATAAAGACACAGCGATTTTCAGTTTCTGCAAATGTAAAGATTCGAAAATTTAGCTCAGGCACTTGCCGCAACCAGTCGAATAATAGCAAAACGTTTTCCCTCTCGGAGCCTGAGCAATCTACAGATTGACGACGTATGTATGTACACCTCGAAATAGTTACGGCGCGCAAATAGAACAAGAAAAAGACAGAAGGAGACGGGAAAACTCGAGAATAACTGACGCCATTTTGGGTGTAACCCTTGACGCATTCTACCT